CTGCCGGCACACAACAAAATAGCCACGCGCAGTGGCCTGACATCCATATGGGCAAACCTGCGCCGCTGCCATAGGCCGCGCACCATCATCCCACTCCACCGCTCCACAACAGTCAAGAAACAATCTCAGGTCTAGTGGTCTGGCGCACATTGCGACCTGGCCTCCAACACCAAACACAGATTCGACAACACCCGCGAACTACTTCGTCGCCGTCACCGCACACCTCCCTCTCAATTGTACGCACTACACAAACTCTCCCACCACTGCACCACATCCCTGCCGGCAAGGCCATCACCACGGCAATGCGCAAACTGCCACGTCAAGACCCAGATCACCAGCATCACTTCCTTTGCTTTCCCATCAACTGTGGTGTTCGCCAGACACCCCCGAGTCCAGGACTTGCAACAGACCCGAGGTGCACCCACCCATGGGCTATGATGGGCTCCCTTGCCAGTCCCGCACTGTGCGACATGGTCGTCGTGTGTGAACAGTCCTGGACGCACACCTACCGCACCGCCACTTACAACGTTAAACGGTCATTTTGCCACCAGATATGTCGGCAACCGGTTGACACTCATACCCCTCGTCACCCAACACACTACACATTTCCACAACGTTCCTCTCACCCCACTTCTGCGGCCCACCCATCTACCTCGAGACAAAACAGGTCTCGATTTTCCCGGCTTCACCATTGACCACACCACCTACAGGACCTACAGCATCCATTACAAAGCCACCTTCAATCTCACCGACATTATGTCACCCCACTCGGCCTCCCCCAACACAGTACTCAAAAGCAGCCTGACGGCCCGTGCCATTTCGGCAAAGAGGCTAGCAACACCACAAGATGCCGTCACCCGAGCCATGGAGCAGCTTACTGATTTGTACGCTAGGGCCGCTAGAGCTGGGTTCGACCTGCAGTGGTTTCGATGCTGCCTCCCGATGCAAAACATGCCACCAACTTTTCTTTTATGCAACCAAGTTGCACTTTGTTGCTTCATACATGACTGCTTTTGCATTGACACCCTCGGCAGCCGTTTGTCAGCAGCATGCACCGCAGCACCAAGAGCGGCAAGATTCAGCCCATTCATATCGCGATCCGAGGGAAAACTTCATTTCCCCGACAACCCGACCGCAGGCTTAATTAAGCGCCAAAGAGCTTTCCGGTCCAGGTCCCCAAGGTCCATTGGGGAAACGCCACAGCCACCCATCCAGACCAGCAGACGCGTCAACCCTAAGGACACAGCTCCTACGCGTCGTTGCAGCCCGCGCACGCCGGCACGACTGCAGACGACATCCTCCTGTGCATCGAAGGTCTACAACTCTAAAACGTGCTCTGAAAGATTCGCACCTTCACATTGAAGGACTTTTGCAGCAAACAGGCACGCTTTTGGCCACTCGGCACGAGACTATGGCAGCCTTGCTATCCAGCTGCAATCAACAGATGGATGTGCTCGAAAGCTTGTTCAAACAAAACACGACAGACGGGTCGTAACGATCAGTATTACAGAGTGCTAGCACCGACCTAGGCGTATACACGGCGGAAAACAAGTCCGTCCACTTCGTGCAACATACAGATACAAGTGCATTTGCTGGGCATGTATGTCTCGGTTCCGTACCTACATTCTCATAGAGCTCCTGGTTCAAGTCAAGAAGCCGTGTGTGTACATACACTCGCCGCAACGTCAGCGGGCACACCCGGCAGCGCGGCGCCCACGGCTGATGAAAGACGCGCAGCTCTGCAAGCACTGCTCGAAGTCCTGACTGAACATCAGGAACACGCACCTGAGCCAGGCAGTGATTTCAGTACGTTCAGCGATTGGACATTCCGTGCACAGCTCGCGGACCATGAAGTCGGTTTGTTGAAGGAAAGGATTCACCGTCTCGAAGCTCTCCTGCCGCCGTAGGCCGCACTTTCGGAAGTGCCAACAGACAGTTTAAAGGCCCGACACAGTTGCATACAACCTGTGCCAGTTCGTCCTCCGCAGACGTTTACTAAGTTCTTTTCCAGACCTTCCAGCATGGAGCCCGCAACACCGGCGACCGCAGCTCTCGGATCCTGAACTTCAAGCTCCTCCCCAACGCCTACCAGAACAGAAACTACCAGAAACTCAGCACCTTTGGTGCACGAGTCGCAGATGATCTACATTACATCCTTCTTTCGGGCAAACAGAACACCACACAGGGTCTATGGTATTTGCCGCGCACCGATCCAGAACGAGCAGTATTGTGTCGTCGAGTTGGTAGCAACCTCCCCAAGGGTTTTCGGCAAGGCCACTCGATACGCGTTCACAAGCCCAGACTTTGCAAACGCTTTCCTTTGAAGCACCTACGGTTGAGCTGTGACATCACAACCTTCATGGCCCCATCTACGGTCACAAGCACTGAACCCTCTGCTTCACGCACATAGACCTTATGAAGCATTCAAGTTCGCTGCCCGAAAAACCAGGATGCATCTAATGCTAAGTATGCTGCCTTCGCATGTTCGCAAGCACCAATTTACATCTGCAGCCATTTTGCTTTCTCTCATTGCACGCAGCATGCCGAATACATCACGATCCCGCTCCCCAACGGGGAGACGGATGGCAATGGCAATTGGTGGCGTTCTTGGTTTATCGCCACACGGGCGTGGCTGACCCACCTCAGCAGCCGAGACGCTCAACTACAACAGCCCACAACCACATCTTCAGCAGTGAAGAGTGGTGACAGAACAGCCCGTTACTCGCCTGCGAAGAGGAAGCGCTCCAGCACACCGGTAATTCACTGCATGCCTTGTCAACTTTGTTGGCCAACATCTCACAAATTTTCGGCGACCGACGCAACAAGCCGAACAGACCGACTGAAAATTCAATGCTTTGCATGCATCTTTTCAGCAGATGTGAACACCCGCCCCAGCACACGGGGCCGCGTGTGTGTGGACTTCCCTCGTTCATGGGATAAGGAGTTCACAAGCCTGGTTTTGACCGAACGTCATGTCATGTTGCTTTTCAGAACCACCTGTGCAGGACAACAGTTTTAACAATATGTGTGCAGGGGGCACGGCGCCACAGTTCGAGCCGTGCCAACGAAGCTAAGAACTGTGGTGGAATCACTCAGGGACGCTTGAGTGTGTACATGCAAAAGCTGGGGCCCCTGTGCCGGCAGGATTAAAGGGCCCCTGTGCCAAGATCAGGGTTCCATTTGCAACTGAGGTTGACAACTTCACAGCTGCATTTGCTTACATGTACTGTTGCTACAATCTGTCACACACGATGGCACTATTCATATGACCTTACATCACATGCCGAACAACCAGCTAGTGTAACGTCCCATGCAGACATCCATCCGTGCGTGCAGACAACACTTCTTCCGTGTGTGTGTGTGTGTGTGTGCGCAAGTCCTGTTCCGAAGGATGTAGGATACGCTGGGGGCCCGAGGGCTCATCATACAGCTCGGGCCACCGAAGCTTAGTGTCATGCAGCCGGGAAAATGTACCCGCATGTGCAATGGCAACCAGGCAAAGCCAGAAACCTGGCATGCCCATGTAACAAGCTAGCGCAAACAGCAGCCATCTAAGTAAGGATGACTGGTCTGCAAGTGTGCTTCCCGGCAGTAATTCTGCCAAAGCGCTGTCGCACTCCGGGTCAGCGAGGGAATCTTGAAACATCTGGTACACCTTGACTATATCTTTTCTTTCCTAGGTGCATGAGCCTCCAGGCCAAGCAGACTGCACAAGAAAGAGGCCCCAATTGCAAAGTTTTCCACTGGCTGGACAGCTCCTTGAAAGCACTTAGGTCCAGGAGCTCAGGAGCAGTTCCTGTTGCGGCTGCTTTCCTCGGCCAGTCGTCGTCGTCGTCGTCGTGCTGTGTTGCTGCCGTTTGTTCACATGTTGATATGTTGCTGCTGTTCGGTCGTCGTCGTCTGTGGTGCGTGTAGGGTTGTGGTGCTGGCGGTTCTTCGGTCAGTCGGCGTCGTCGTCGTGTTGCTGTGTTGCTGCTCGTCGTTCGTCGTGTCTCGGCTGTGCGTGTACGTGCGTGTACGGGTTGTGGTGTTGGCTGTTTTTCGGTCAGTCGTCGTCGTGTGGCTGTGTTGCTGCTCACCGTTCGTCAGGTCTCTGTTGTGCGTGTACGAGTTGTGATGTTGGCTAACATTACAGGTTCTACCGGTCTACCGATAGTGTGTGTGTGTGTGTGCGTGCGTATGTGCGCAACTCCTGTTCCGAAGGATGTAGGATACGCAGGGGCCCGAGGGCTCATCATACAGTTCGTGCCAATGACTATATGATGCAGGCAGGAAAACGTACCTGCATGTGCAATGGTGGCATGCCGATGTAACAAGCTAGCACAAACAGCATCCATCTAAGCAAGGATGACTGGTCTGCAAGTGGGTGCGCGTGCGTACGTGCTCGTGCATGCACAGTCCTTCTCGCCTCCGTGCACGTTCGAAGCACCAACGACACCATATTCTCCAAGTGAGCAAAGTGCCCTGCAAAAGCCCCAAGCCTGGTTGCAAGCTAATGCATGGAGATAACCAGAATTCCAGTGTCTCGTTTCCTGTTTCCCAGCCCAATCTGAGAAGCCTCCTGTCTTCCCTCACTACGAGGCCGGTGCTTTCCATGGACTTGCCGTGGACGACTCTCGCGCAGCTTTAAGGCTGCTCATGGCTTCACCTCTGCACTCTATGCACCTGCTCCTGAAACTTCTCTGCCAGGTGCAGGATAGCTTCCCCTCGCTCTCTGATAGCCCGAAACCTCAAATGAAGGCGAGGTCCCAGAAAGCTGCTTGCTTGCAGTGGCTTGGCAGGTCTCGATTGCTCCGATGTCAACGTGGGCAAGAGTTCTGGGTTTTCGGTACGATCCGGCTCGGTGCATCAGGCCTAAGGTCGGATGCCACTTGCCTAAAAGGTTTTGGTTGCTCCCGCGGCCCAGGCACTGCCGGAATCGGAACCCCACAATAAGACGCGACTGCCAACACGAGCCCCTCTGCTCCGCTCAAAGCGCTAAACCGCAAGAGCTTTTGCGCCTTGCAGGAGAGGATGTTACCGAAGAGGCTGAAGGTATCGTACAAAGCCTTGTTGTCGATGTTCCGGTCCAGGTTGCGGACCTTGCTGTCTGTCATCAATTTGCTAGTTTGTTTGATGTTGCTGCGACGATGATTACTCTAACATTCACCGTGCACAGCTCCCGGCAAAAACATTGCCAAGGCCACCTGGTAATGCAGCGCTCTTTGCAGCTGGCACTTTCCGCCAGTACGACCACTCTGACTCTTGCTTCCCGAGGCCATGGCTTTTGCGAAGGCTAGGGTCGCGCTGGGACCACATGATGCGGCAGGCGCGGCCCTGTGCAAGGGTTTCTCGAATCTCCAATTTTGCGTTCCGCGAGCAATGAAAGCCTTGATGCTTGAGTAGTTCAACGTGTCCAGAGCACGTTCAGCATCAGAAACGCTGTGGAAGTTGACATAACCTGGAAACTTCTTGCTGGTGCTATGTTGCCACAACATGCCACAACGAGGGATCCCACTAATGGGTTGAACGTATCAGCCAAGATGCCATAACCAAGAGACCTGGTATCATGACATGAAGAATGCCAATATCAGAGGCAGGTGCTGTGTGTGACACGCTCAAACTGTTTCGAAATGACAATCGCTCGCACTCTCTCCCAGCGCACTTCCGGGAGACGCTGTCACGGCAAACGCGGATGGACGCCACTGGCCCAACCGAGTTGAAGATCTCGTAAAGCATTGCCTCTATACTGATGAAATCTTACCGGGCCCGTCTAAGAATCTGCAAGCTTGGCAAAGACTTGCAGCGCCTCGGTCACATCAGGGTGCAGGTCACCCACGTACCTGGCACGAACAGCCAATTCTTGATGGTCGTCGCTTCTAAGCTCTGCACATCTCTGTACTTCATGCAAGAACTAGCGTGGTGCACAAGGACGCAAACTGAGGCACCTCAGCCACAAGACTCGACAGCCGACATGCGCGATCCGGACGCCTTTGGCTAACCGCAGCCACGCCACTCCCGCCATATCTGCCTGTGTGGCACGAAGTATAATGCGTCACTCCCTTCAGCCATGCTCACTTTGAGGTCCAAGGAGCTTTTGTGGAGAAGTAACGAGAAGTGACTGCCTTGAAGAAACCTCTGCTCGGCTCGCCGCATACTTCGGCGAATGTGCGCGACATGCACTCAAACGAGAAGCATCCAGAAGTGTCAGCGCGAAAAAAATTCACAGGCATGTGCATGGGATATAGCTCTCGCAGGCCTCAGTGCCAAAGTGCTCCCTCGGATGCAGCACGCGCTGGTGAGAATATGGAGAAACCTGACAGTCTCCAGGTCATTAAAGCAAGCCGAACACATTCGCATACCAAGCCAGGGGCAGGTTCTTTTTGTAGGTTTTGGGGTTATGCCTTGCTTGGGTCAAGAAGGATTTGTTTGCCTCCTCCCAAGGCGGAAACGGAAACAAACGCATGCTGGGGATGAGGCGATTTTTTAGTGGACTTGGCGGGCCAGCGGCTGGCCCCCTTGACCTTGTCCACTGTTTCTTCGAGCCCAGCAGCACCGGTTGACACATTCATGCCGCGGACATCACATCATATCTTCTTGCCCACTCCTTTGCCACTATTTGTTGCTCTTCTTTGGCCTGCGTGTGCAGCCAGCTTGCTATGGTAGCCGTTGCTGCTAGCCTGTTCAACGGCACCCAGTTTTCTTTCGGACATGGCCAGGTGTCAATGTGCTCTTAGCAGTCGTATCGAGCTGCTGCGATGATTCGAGCAGTTGGCTTGTGAAAGCGACGCATGTAACAGAGATGCCAAACAAGCTCTCTCTCACACACAAACAAACAAACAAACACACACACACACACACACACACTCACTCACTCTCACTCTCACGTTAGATCTCTTTCAGTGGCTGATTAGCATAATGAGTCGCTGCAAGCTTGAAGCTGTTTAAAACTACTATCAAGGAAAAGCTTCACAGCTGATAATCCCTCCAGAGGTGCCCATTGCCCTGTGCGGATCTAGCGTTTGTCTCCGAAGCTTGGCATCCGTCCGAAGGTCACGAGACTGACCCTGTACTTTCATGTGGACAGGACTGGTGCGAATTGATGCCGATCGATCTCTGGTGCTCTCGACTCAGTTCGCATCAGCAGTAGAAGTCGTAGACTTGGTCAACGGAAACTCCTCGCTGCTCACATGCTCGTATGGTTGTGAGCAAGTAGGGGACATCCACGGAAAGAGCCCACTGTGCAGAAGGCGGCCCTGGCACACCATCGGTTGGGTATGCAAATTGCGCTACAATTTCGCATCCGGCTAGGTTGCACAGATCCCTGCTCACACTGGCGTCGTTAGATCTGGCTGAAACTTTAACCTGAACCAGCTTCTGCGAGGAGATCTCGAGCACTGTCATATTCTCGTCTTGGGCCAGGATCTTGCATATATCGGTCAGGACCTTCGGGCACATCTCAGCAGTGCAGCAACGCTGGACAACTTGCCGTCACTTCAACTAATTTGGACAACACAAGGTGCTCTAAATCTACCCACCCCTCTACCTGCGTACCTGCACGTCTGCCTACCAACCTTCACGCATGCCCTTTCCACCCCAGCTTCGTCGAGTGCCTTGAAGGTTGGCACCTTCATACTGAACAAGCCTTGTACAGGGCAGGCAATGTCTGTAATCCGCTCGTCAAGCTTCTTCCAATCCACGTTGGGCGCGTCTCTCGGACGCAACACGACCAGCTGCTCCCGGGCTTGCGCTTCATCGTAGCCTTCCCCAAACCCCCAGCTGGTTGGCATTGAAAGCAACGGAGTTGCAAGCAGCTTCATCTGGGCGAAGAAAAAGGTCATGATGAGTCCAGGCACTAGTGACGTCACAAACGCCATACTGCCGAAGGCCTTCTGTAAACCAAGCTTTCGCTGCACAATGCTCGACTCTTGAAAGAGGACGTCAAAGTAGACCTTCATGAACTGAACATAAGGGAAGCGGTACCAAGGCTCACTTTCCAGGCTCTGGCCGAAAATCTGCAAAATTTCAACTTGCATCCATTCGTTGAGCTTGTACCAGGTATACCTGAATTTCTCGCTGGTGCAAACAGGCGTGCAAAGGTGCGCTCATATGACTGACCAGATGCCCACGCATACACTCGTGCACACAAAAGTACGCGCACACACAGACAGCTAGCCCCGTAAAATGCCTCTGTAGTATACACAAACAAATATGTGTATGTACTTGTGTGTATATATATATACATACATACGTATACGTATGGTACCCATGTACCCACGCCTGCCTCCTACATACGTGTAGCTATAAGATGTTATAAGTACCACAGGTGCTGAACATGATAGCTGCACAACATTTCGTTGCAGACAAAGCCTGCTCCCAAGCTGCTCGCCGTCATTGCTGTGTAGGTCTTCTGTCCATCCACTGCTCCGGAGCCTCTCCAAGATGGCGTTGACTCTGGGCAAAAGATCTTCCCGGGCCATAAGTTGGTTGCTTCTATATCGGATCCTCAAGGTGCGTGTGTTTCCCGTCGCCACCCTTCGGAAGCCATCCGCTGCACCACCCACTCCAAATGTACGGCAAAGGTTCACATTCTGAAGGCCTTTGCTGACAAATGCAGAAAGTTGGTGCCTATTGCTTCTTTCGGTGATTTTTCCGATCCACTGCTCCCGTATGCCCTTGGTTCGCCTCTTCGGGCCTATGGACTGTGGATACACGACAGAGTGTATGTATGTGTATGTAGCAAGACAACGTACAATCATGGTTAGCAATTAAATACGCCATAGGTCGCCAGCACACCAGACTGCATAAAAGCCTTCAGGGCTACTAAAAAAAGCTGAGATGTGAAAGGTGGTAGAGCTCTACCACCATGTTCGAGAGAAACGAGACAATAGTAACCAGTCCCAGCGCAACTTCAAAGTCACGTGGAACTTTCTGACCTACACCATGTATAAGACACGTGCTGAAGCTAAGCACAAACTGCTGGTGCTTGACCATGCAAACTCTTACCTGGCATCGCTATTCGGCAAGCCTGCTGAGTATCCTACCATCAATGTAACACAACATGTTGTATTGGCCAGCAGACCCAGAGTGTAGCGAGTATGTAACCATGTGATTAAGTAGGTTTTACATGCACATAACACCATTCATGATTCCAACCCCCTTCGTATTTCAAGCTTGTCGGATCAGTAATGATCTCATCTTGATGTAGAGGTGGTGCCCTGCTCTGTTACATGCGCACAATACAATCAAGGTGTTAAGCGTGCATGATGCAACCATGCCGTGTGCGTTCTTCCACAGTATATCATGTATATCCATATAGAGAGCAAGCACAGTTCCAATTTTACATGCATCGTTTCAGTGGTCGATCACTGCCTACACTAGTTTCCGGTGGGTGTATGTAGTCCCATGGCTACGAATAGCAGCTCTCAAATTTTGTGGGTAATTGTAATTATGTAGCTTCATGTTTTATGGACAGTCTCGTGTGCGCTGGTGCTGGAAGGTTGCCACCCCTTTCCTGTCACACAACCTAAACAAAGCCATAGTATCACGATCTCAGAAAGGGTTTGATGCACAACATGGTAACATCATGCAAGGCTATGCAGTTCATAGAACACGCGACATTTCGAACATGTAACAACCGATGACATCTGGCCCAACATGCAAGATGAGGTCAGTGAGGCACGAGGTGAGCGAGTGGGTGAGTGATCGTGTGGAGTGAAGTATCAGAAAGAGATCCGATGGGTCGGGAGAGCGGATGAGTGACGCGCATGCCCTGCGGGCCGCACGTGCTTCTGCTGCAACGTTTTGACGCATTTGGCGTGGGTGCATGGCAAAGTGACCAGCTACAGCTCTGGTTAGACGTGAACTCGTCCAACATCTATGCAAACTGTTCTCAGGTGCAGATGGAAATCTTTGCAGTGCTGCTGCTGTAAGCTGGGCCTTCAGATGCTCTGATTGAAATCCGAGGAACGCAGCTTGCCATTTTGGAGCATTCGCCGCACATGCTCCGTGACGTCCTTTGGTGCTGCGGTGAGGGAAAAGTATCCAAAGGATGCCGAAGCAATTTCTGCAACGTTGCCTCGCATCACAAGAAAACATTGCTGGACTCTTCTCGACAATCGTCTTGCATGATCAAGCATGTCGGCCTTAGGAATTAACATGTCATTGTAATACAGCCAGAACGAACATGTTCGAATTCATTGTTTGAAGCCCGGTCACAAATATCATGCTGCTGCCCTTCTGCCATCTCGACATCTTGAAGCCCGGGCGTCAATCCATCCAGGGCTCGTTGCAGATTGCGTTTTCGTTCAGCCTCCTCCGGGCTTCTCACCGGCGCAGGCGCCACCTTTCCGACCAAAACACGAGCACGTAAGGACTCTTAAGCACATCAAGAATGAAGAAATCGAACACCTCGGAAAAAGGCGACATTCACTTGCACAACCAAGTCATCCTATGTATTCCATTCCGTAAAAGCCCGCATTGGTTGCAAGCCGAGCCAAGCGACTACGCCAGAGGATTGTTGCGTCTGCTGGCTTCTTCGCAGGGCTTGGGCTGCGTGGTACAAGGGCGGCAGCTTTTCCAGGCCCACGTAGTTGCACATCACTAGTTGCTGACTTCGAATGTGCACGTGCTGGGACCCTAGGAAAGCTCGCAACGCTCGAGCCCAGGTGGTTTGTGGGCGAAACAAATCGTCCGCACTCGGAGATATGCGATCGTGAGCGGCCTCGAGCAATGCCGCTCTGAGCTCAATCCACGCTTCCTCGTCCAGATAAGTAGACAAGATGTCGGCCACTGCACTCACGCTGGAAACATCGCCCATCTTGGAGAGGAATACCTAAGCATTCATTGACACACTGGAGCCCGTTGAAAGTAATGATGTGCTTGAACTCTTGGATGTTTCAATGAGTACTGTATCGGATGTATCGCCGAGAGACCTGTATGGCTCGCTTCGGAAAGCCCATTGCCTCCAGGGCATTGGCCTCTTGAAATTGAGGAAATGCTTCGAGAAGCTTCCGGAGCAGCCCTTCGACCTCTTCCTTTGTGACTGAAACGGCCACCTGTCAGGGCAGGCACTGCTAGCAATGGACCTTCGAGTCCATGTGCCGTGATGCTGTGCTGCCGGGGTGGCCCTCTTTGGTGCAAACTTTTCCAACCTCTTGGGGCTTTTGACTGTCCACCCGCTGGCCCTGAAACGTGTCCAGGATGTCCTAGTACGGGATGAGAAATAGCCAGCACTACCAACTGCGCGACGTAACAGGCAAATAGAAATGCGGTCCGATGCGGCCTTACCTAGTCTTGTAGGAAAAGGTCACGGAAACATGACTTTCTTTTGCCTTAGCCATATCATGGAAACATGTATCACGGTTTGCCAAACACAGGCAAAAGATGGAGACGCGAAGAGGGGTAGCAAAAAATGGAACAACCAAATCAATGACCAAATGAGTGGTACGCACACATAACCATATGCAGATGCTTGTCTCTTTCTTTCTTTCTTTCTGCTGGGCTTAGGGGTCCCGCGAGACCCTCAGGCCTTAGGCTTAGGCCCGCCCAACCCTCACACTGTACTAGTGAGTGGTCGGCATTGGGGTCAATCCTGAAAACGGCATAGAACTACGAAATATGCCCCAGGCTTACAAGTAAGGAGCCCCCCTGAACGCTACTCTCTCTCTCTCTTCCGGGCTTGGGGATCACGGCAGCGTCCAGGCCGATCACCCCGTGCGCGCGCGCACACCCGCTTCTCGCGGGAGGTCTAACTCCACCAAAGGTTTTTCCTCTGGGGGCTCGGCTGTACTGCGACTTGGGTTCCCCACACTGCTCTTGTCTCTCCGGCTCTCTCTCTATCTCTCTATGGTATGTATGCATAAAAAATCTGTACAACTAGTTACTAACTATTGCTATATATACACACATACACATGTGTATTCGCTCTCATATCTACTACACACTGTCGCTTGAAAAAGACAAAGACAAGGCCTGGCTCTTGAACACAGGCTGGAAACATGCAATTTTCGACGGCATTACCGTCGAAGCCGGGCAAACAGGCAAGCTCGGTCCTTGATCACCGCTGCGGCAAACATTTCATTCGCACTCGCCTGGCCGTTCTGAACTTTCCGCATCAGCGCCGGTACCAGCAACAAGATTTCGGAGGGGACCAAGCTACCAAGGCCGGAATCTGCCGGCCCCGTGAGGTCCACATGTTCAACCAGCGGCCGCAAATTTTGCAGGATTTTGAGGATAGGTTCAGCTGCTTGGTCCACCAAAGACTGAGCGATCAACTGCTGGCCACTGCTGAACGCCTTCATCCGCTCTTTGAAGACGGCCACCGCGGCGGGCAGCGTGTTGAGGACTCCATCAATGGCGTCCAACACTCCTCGCAGCAAAACCTGAGGAGCTGTTTCCATAAATGAAGCCACGGCCTCTGGGAGTTGAACTGCCGAAGGTGGTTCAGCCAAGGCAGGTGCAGGTCGTGAGGCAGACTCAACATGCAAAGGCGGTTTGTAAAAACACATCATTTCGTCGACTGTGGGGTCATATGGCTCCATCTCGAATAGCCTCAGGCTGTCAGGTCAGGCTGCAGCGACCCCAAACAAAAAACAACTTTCCTCTAAGGCAAAGTAAGGTCTCGGCATGGAATCCTCCAGGCCGGTGCTCTCCAGAATTCTCCTCCACTCTGACAGGGGTCGAAATGCTCTGAGTTCCATCTCCTCTTCCTTGTCAGTGACACCCATGACGGCATTGAACACACTGTGGGCCAAGTCTAGCATTGGCATCAAGGATGGTGAGGCATCGTGCTCGCGAACAATAAAGAGACCTCCTGGACGTAGCACACGAACCACTTCTGTCAAGAATCGAGGCAAGTGCTGCTGAGGTATGTGATGAAGGCCTTGCATCATTGTTACTAAGTCAGTCGAGTTGTCAGGTACCTCCTTAAAAGGACCTGCTTCCATCAGCCGCCAATGCACTTCAGCACCCACCGGATCCAGACATCCGCGTTCGATCACTGCCGGAAGGTCATCCGAAAATGTGTCGTGGGCAACCCAGCACTGCCCCTGCATGCACAAAGCCTTGCGTAGAGAAAGCACAGTGCGGCCAGGATCTCCGATCGAAAGAAGGTCGTGCAACTGCCCAAACTTGCCGAGATGCGACACAATCGAACAAACTTCTCGTGTCAACTCGGCTTTTTGAGCCGATACTTGATTCAGCTGCTTCCACATTTGCCTCCCAGCTGTCACAACACCACCGGACTCGCGCAGCTGCCTCTGCAAAGCACGATAGATCTCAATGTCATCTCGATTCTCAGGGTCTCGTGCAGCCTTGACCATCATTCGAAAGAGCGTCTCATTATCCATCACGTTGAAAATCTGAGTCAAGAAGCCGTCTTTGAAGTTCCGGCGCAGCAAAGGGTTGGACAGCAAGTCACGGAAGGCGTTGGCACGACGGCTTGGCACCTCGGGCACAGATATTTCTGATGATCGCCCAATTGGCATCAAAGTAGATGTGGCAACCGGTTGCGACAGTGATGCATGATAGTGTTGTGACAAATACTTGGAGCCGTAGTGCCTGAACCACAAGTTGTCAAACAAACCAAGGGGGTCATACATCTCCTTCTTCATGAAGAAAGCCTTTATCTGGGGGTACGCGTCTTCAAGCTGCTCATGGCTATAGTGACAGCCTGGCCGGCGTCAGCTTGCATCATGTGTACATCAACCTACGAAATCTAGATAGCATCTTCAAACCATGGGACGATACGGCAAATAGAAACTCCCTTTCAGCGCCAGGGTCTCTGTCACGAACAAATCATGAAACTCTTGCATCTTTGCATCTGCCGAAGCAGTTCTCGGCAAGCGATAGTACAGAACGAAGGCAAACATGCCCTCCTCGTGTTGGGCATAAGGCAGAAACGTGACCACGTCTCTCTCCACGAACCGGATGGTGGTGTTCAAAAGAACTACCTCCGTGGTCGCAGACAGTTTTTTGTAGATTGGCCTGGTTCTGCTGATCCAAGACTCAAACTGACTGCGAGGGCAGAAGTACTCCTGAAGTAAGAATGTATCATCCACTTGAAACAATGGTTCGTAGAGCTGTGAAATCGGCACAGCGCTTTCGTGAAGCATGTGGTTGCGCTCAGTCTCGTTACCCCAATCCAGAGCTGTCCCAGACTTCTTTTCGATGGCATACCGAACCTCCTTCATGATAGGCATGAGCCACTTGTACATCAACCTCGACTGCCAGGACATTTCTCGCGGTTTCGTTTCCAGTTTTGAAACCAATTTAATCTGCTCATCGTGGCTTCTTCGGAAAACGAAGAAGTCAATGTTGTTTGTGTCGAGGATGTTCAGCCGTGCTAGCTTCATGACAACATCCCTCGATGCTTGCGCTGCGGCAAAGTATCGAGGAAATTCGTCCGCTTTCAGATGCAATGCCTCCATGTCCATGCGACTATTCCGGTCGACTCGCATGGTCACCTCCCACATGACGCCGAAGAGGCCGTACCTGAGTCATCCAGTGTAGACGCCAAACCGTGAAACACTGAAAAGAAAACTGCCAGAAAAAATCGAGGAGGAATACAGCCCCGAAGCTCTAAAGCCTAACGTAGCGGTGAGTAGGGGACCGCAGCGAAGAGGTCCGAGTGTCCACGGATACATCAACGGCTTGAAGACACCACCGCAGGATCGAAAACCGCACGTACTGGGAGGATTAGAACAGTACTGGGCTTGCCTTGGCGAGAATGGATTTTTTGACCCACGCCGCGGCAATCTGATCCATGTTCAAGGGCAGAATAGCCCAACATTTTTTTTTTTGCAAGTAGTACCCCCCTGTCACGCTCGCTGCAAGCCGAGGGACCCTCCAAGAGCAAGCTTGAACAGCTCACCGGCTTCCCCGTCAGCATCTCGGGAGCAGGAAACTTCTTGGCCATCAGCCTTGATCAGTCGAAAAGACTCGACACACTCGGACAGGCAAAAGTCTGTGGTGATGCCATGGCCATTCACTGCCAGAGTGCCACCCACCGAGAACGTTGAGTAACTCTGCATGGTACGAGGCGACATGCCGAAGTGATTCAGGAAGAGGATCAGATCCGCCCAGGTGCATCCACACTCACACACAACAGTGTCTGCTTCACTGTCGAAGTACATACGAGTCATTTTGGTCATGTCGATGACAATGCTGTCTTCGGCCATGCACTGGCCTCCCATTGAGTGTTTCGTCCCTCTTACAGCCACTCGCCTTCCTTCTGCTCTAGCCTTTGCCAGGGAAATCTTGATGTCGTCAGCACTGCGCACATACACGATACCACCCACAGCTGTGCTATTCATGCGGGTGACATCGTCGACTTTGATGGCGCTGCTGCTGGGATCGGGATCAGGATCCGGAAAACTAAAACGACAGCTTGGCCTGTTTGCAGTTGACGTCTGCTCTTCTGCCATTGCGCTTCCGATGCGTATACAAAGCAAGCGGGCTTGGGAACTTGAACTTTGATGCTCCTGCCGTGACCGGTCTTAAGAGACAAACCGACCTCTTCCCGTGTTGTGTCAAACATGAACACATCTCCATGCATGCTGGGATTTTGGAGCTTCTGGCTGAGGGACAGACTGACAGAATGCTCCCTCACCTCACTACAGCACATGCATGGTTGAAACTCGCAGTCACTGATTGGTGAAGCCGCCGAGAATATCAACCTCCTTCGAAAAATTCCACAGCAATGGGATGCAACGGGCACTTCAGCAAAGTGATTTGAGTCCCAACTGTTGCAAACTGGCACAGACTCTCGCGACGCACTGTCAGATCAATTCGCTTTCCTGTTGACATGATGAGAAGGAGACAGGGCTGGAATGGTTTTGATGCCTGCCTGCTGCGACAAATCAAACCGACACGCATTGCACAGGGATCAACAATGCCATCATTGACCCCATGCGGTCAGAATAAACTAGCCGCTAGCCGACAGTAGCCATGTTGATGGCGATGCGATTAGCATACGAGCCGGAATCAATCATGACTTTTTACGCGGCCTGTGGCAGATTGAAGTCAAGGGCATATCCCCTTTTCTTTGCCCAATCTACGTAAGCTCGCCAATACGGGTCAGCTCTCAGAGTCCAATAGTTGCCCACGATTATCAAGCCTCGCCGTGCCCTTGTGAGCATGACATTCAAGCGGCGCCAGTCAGCCAGGAAGCCCACGCTCCCACCACGATTGCAGCGCACGGAGCTAAACAGAATCAACTCCTTTTCGCGGCCCTGAAACGAGTCGACGGAAGCAACCAGCAGCTCTTTCGAGGCTTCAGGGCTCAGCCTCAAGTATTTGCGAATAAGGCGCCGAAGTGTGCGGACTTGGCCCATGTACGGAGTAACTACCCCAATCTGAGATGCTTGTAGCTCGCCTGCGTCCAGCACGCTACTCAGAATCTGGGTTAGCAGCACAGCTTCGCCAGGATTGCACCATGATTGTCCATTCCTCTCTTCGGAACAATCGTTGTCACGACCCGTGTCTATGACTGCTATTCCTTCGGTAGAGCATGGCCACTCGAAGCCTGCAGGTGGAGGCCGCATGGCAGCGGAAACCCCAGAAAGCAGCTTGGCGTCGTAAAACGCATCTGAACTGTGCTCCGCAATGCTTGGATGCATGCGGAACTGCGTATCGAGAAAGAAAGAAGGAAAGCCTCTAAGAACCAAGCGCTGGAAGAGGGAAAGAGTCAGGCCGCGCGTCTCGGCCTCGAGTGATAGGGCGGCAGCCGGCAGCTGGCAGTGGTCACCAACAAGGACCAGGCGGTCTGCGCGGAGATGGGCAAGAGGTACCAGCGCCGAAAGCTCCGTGGTCTGAGCAGCCTCATCCATTAAGATTGCGCCAAACTGCAGGCGCTTGAGAAGTGCGGTTGCTGATGCGATTGTTGTGACGCAAACAACATCGGCTTGTTTAAGGATCCGTCGTGTTGCATCATACCTTTCACTTCCATCCATGTAATCGCCGCAGGTCTCTTGCAAAATGGAGTCCAATGAACATCGATCCAAAGCAGAGCTTATGCGGCTTGGCTTGGCTAGGCGAACGACGTCCAAGCCTTTTGCATAAGCACTTTCTGCGATATTGTCCACTGCAACATTGTTGTGGGACGATACAAGAATAGGCCTCACTCCTGCACGCGACCAAAGTCGAAGAATTTCGACTGACACGTGGGTTTTACCAGTGCCAGGTGGCCCTTGGATCACCGTAAGCCGCCTTTGCAGTGCGGCTACTGCTGCTTCTCTCTGGGAAGCGTTGAGCTCTGCTGAAGGTTCCAATCGCATGCCTGAAGGGCTGAGATCTTCCTCAGCCAAGGACTTAAGCTTCAATATGTTTACATCGTTCTCTGCATTCGGCAGGCTGCGGGTGCCAACCCTGCCTTCTGCCTTCGCCTTCTGCAGCTTGCTTCGCATCTTGGTCGCCCATGAATCCACGATGTCACCACCAACTCCACTCAAAGGTAGCAATTCCCACAGTGGCAACCTTTTCGTCTGTGCTCTCTGTGCAATCTCCCCGAGTGCTGCAAGCTGGCGCTGATAAGCAGGTATGTTTATCGCGGAGTATACATCTACAAGCTCCTCCTGGCGGCAGATCTGTCGCACTTTGTCTTTTCCACCGACATCCAATGCCAATGCGAATTCGGCATCGCTTAGCCCAGTTTCAGCATCTGATGATACTGCTGAGGCAAAGTAAACAGTCTGTGCAAAACAAATGGCTCCACCATGTATCACACTCACTCCAGCCTTTGAAAGCACGAATGAGTTTCCTGGGGATACGTCGATCTTTGATCCTCTGGCTAGAGATGTGGAAGTTTTTCGCAGCACTAACACCTTGCCGTCATCACTAGGCTCTGGCTGTAGTTGCAGGGCCGCGTTGCCGGACTCAACCAGAAAGGACTGGGGCTTTTCCCACGTTCGCTGCTTCTGCATCAGCTCCTCCAAGAAATCCAAGTGAAGTATTGGAATGAAATGGGAATAGTAGTCCACAAAGCCAGCAGCAAAATCTGGAAGCTCAACCCTTGCCAGAAGATCTTCTATCACCACGCCTTGCAGCACATCGCATGTGCTCTCGATGGAACCTGAGCCGTCGGCGACTTCTCCGCGTGGGCAGCAGCCTCGGAACAGTTCGACTTCACTCGGTCCATCCCCGAGGCCATCAGGAAGAAGAGGAACAATATCGTCGGGCTTGCGGATGGTCAGATTTAAAGCCAAGCGCACCATGGCGACCGGTGTGGGCACCCGAAACAATAGTTCCGTCAGGACCTGGTGGTATGTTGCTACGTTGATCCTCGAGTTGCGCTCGACCACCAAGTCCAAGACTTCTGCGAACTCTTGAGCTCCACCAACTGCAGCTGCCACCAAAAGCAGGTCACCCACGGCTGACACCTGACCGACACAGTTCGACCAGCAGTTCATGAGGCTTCGGAATGAGGGATCAAATGGAGAGGGCATGTGATAAAACTACCTTGCCTGTCGGTCTGATCTCACAGTCGCCAGGAGGGCCGAAAGGTCTCTTTTGGAAACCAGCCGACGCCATTGCTTCCTCGCAATTCATGGAGCAGCATGGAGAACTACTCGGAACAGTGCGAAACAGCGCTTGCAGTTGGACCTAATTGCAGAATAGGTTCTGATTCTTCATCTTCTGATTGCTTTTTGCAGCGCTTTTGCCTATGTATGCCTCCGGCACGTAGATGTCCGGCAGACCTGTCCGTTTCAACATCTTCTTGTGCCGCTTTCCCGCGACATGCTGCGCCAGCATGGCAGTGCTGGTGCATTGCCTCATTTCTGGATGGAGGCTGAAGATCAGACCGGAACACACAGCACACTGTCAAGATACTTCCACAGATACTGACGACTATAGAAGTCCCAGTAGCACTTTGCAAATCGGGCAGTAAAGCGATGAATCAGAGATCTCTGGCGGATCTCTCGCTAAGAGCCTGCCTTTGTCCTCCTTTCCTCGGGCAACTCTCCTGGTGAGCGTGCTGCACACTCTCGACGATCTGGTGCAACGCCTGCACGGCAAGCACCAAGCCAGCAGTCGTATCAAGACTGGGAACATTGGCAGGTGCCCGTGTACCGTACAGAGTGCGCTACGTGCAGAGAATGTTCCTCGAAGCCTCTCCCAATCGAACACGAGCACCACCTATCAGCAGCCTACGCTTCGAGCAGGCACGGCACCCTCGCCCACAACTGAGCAACTGCACCCACCCACGATCGCACACGCACATGCACTCACCATCTCCACTCGCCCTGTGTGCCAAGCCTAAATGCTGCAGGACAAGAGATTAAGCTTCTGGCTTCTGTGTGTGGTGCCTATCCGGTCTGGCATGCTTCCGTCCCCGCAGAAAGTTAGCAGCGCGCCTCCTCCTGCAAAGGGATAGTTGGCTGGTCCCCAGAACCAGTATCCACCGAGCCAGTGCTGAAGCTTCTTCAAAGACTCCGGTTCCGCGATGCTGCGGAGGCTTTTTGGAGCCTTGCCAACACTAGCACGCCGTCTCCGAACTACATGCTGTGTCACATCAGCGGGGCGAAGAAGGAAGCACACCAGACGTCTGCCTCGTTGCCATACGGAGTGAAGTGGGGCGACGAGGCCGAGTCTCCCCCTTCGAAGGGCACAGGCACCAGCATCAGCTGAGCAGCTTCTACTGCTGGCCATGGCCAGGATGCGGCGTAGCTCTTTCCTGCTAGAACTGCTTACAGATAAGTACCTTCTTGGTGGTTAAGTCGGCAAGATCCGACTATTCCAACCAGACAAAACAATCCAATCATCTCGCTGTTACTGTTTCAGGCCATGCATCCGTACCTGAAAGAAGTCACAGACAGACCCAGGGACCCCAAATTTGGGAGCGTCTTCAAGCCCAAATGGGCCCAAATCAAGTCTGGGAAAAGTGAAAAGCGTATACAGCGAGTCTGTTCCGCGCAAGAAGGGCAAAGCCCCCAAAGCCGACTTAACGTTACAGCGCATCTCTCACGAGCAGACTGCTATTTACGGGAATAGTTTGGTTGGCTTAGGGTTGTGTCCGTATGCTTACATCTGCTCCAACGCATGGAAGAAATGCCATGCAGCTGCTTTTCCATTGCGCTTTTCAGTCGACAGGTCTGAAGCGATGTCTGCATGGTGCCCACCTTGGCATCAGCTTTTGCTAGTGGCGCACGTGTTGCTGGACTTGCTACTACAAGACTACAAGTAGCACCGTTATCATGGAGCGATAAAAATCCATTGCTTTCCTCTTTATATTAGCGCGGCCGATGTGCTTTCAGTTACAACTCATCCTCGGATTCCTAGTCAGGCCTGACATCTTTCTGCTTTTTGAATCATTGCATGGGCTGAAGATGATCGAAGGGCTTCACCAGAAGAGGTCAAGGCTGACTAGTTTTTCTTATCGTATTTGCAGATATCTCTTGCGTGTGTGTATTCGCAAGGCCACCTGAAACTTCCCGAATGGAGTCTTTCCATACTTTACGGACTGACGCGACAAAACTCGATAAATACGAAACTGAGGTCAACACTGTGACCGTCGGGACGTGACAGAACAGCTGTGCAGCTTCCCTGAAAATGCCGTGAAAAGGAGTGGCCAGGCGGCTAGGCATGTCATCTGAAGAAAACCTCGGGCCTCGGCTTCTGGGTCTGGCACAAAGGAGAGGAGCCTGAAACCGTGCGCACTTCAGGATTGACCTACTCCTGTCTTCTGCTTTGGGCGAACGCTTTCTCACGAATGTCGCATCGTTCCAACGAAGTGGCGGGGCTGCAAGTATTGATGGCTGAAGTTATGCTGCGGAGTGATGCTATGATGTAGTGGCTCCAGGACAGCGGCCAGCATGATATGCGTGTTCATTGCAAAAAACCAAGCGAAATGGGCTGTGGATCTCGAGTTGTAATCTGCTTGTTCCACGTGGTTTTTCGCAGGATGATTTCTCGATACTGTAAAGCTTTCGTTCTAGGGTGTGTGGCTTCCTCCAAGCGCTAGCTAAGCAGTTGGTTTTCTACGACACATCGTCGTCTCGCAATCAGCCGATACCGGAGACTCTGGCGATCTGCTGCCAGTTTGGCTACGGCCACAACTAGAACGACTGAGGCAACTGCAGTCGCTGTTGCAGTGATGACATCGTATTGGAGGGCGGGCTCGGGCCGTTTCAAGTTTTTCTCCGATCCAGACCCAGCTGAAGGCATCCTGAATATCTGGCGAACTACAATACTACAAGCTGCCGTTCACGGCAGCATGTAGCTGCAACGCGACATGTCGAGGCCCGAAGCCTGCGAAGCGTGCACACCGAGCGGCCGTCCACCTTCCAATGAAGTAACATGTTAGCCGGCCAACGACACACTATCGGGACATGCAAGGGTTTCGGCCTTCTCGCTCAATCTGGAAAGAACGCCTGATCGGCGTCTCTCGGTCAAGTGAGTTTCCGACACTCGTCGTGCAAGAGAAACTGGAGGAGGCGGACGGAGGCGAGGCAGGCGTGCCTCAGAGTCATCACGGCACCAAGAGCCTGTGACCAGATCCACCAGCCGGCTGGCACATAGATAAAATCACCTCTCACGAGACGCCTCTCCTGGCCAGGCATTCCCGTGAAGCACCAGCCTTTCCGCAACACCGCTCGCAGAGGTCGAGCTGAGGCTGGCAAACTTGACACCTGCGAGAACCACAGGTTGAGACGCAGCACGCGATGCACGCGATGCTCACGACTCACGCCTGCAGCTTGAAGCCAAAGCCCTCGGACGGCAACTCGAGGATTGATGCGGCAGCAGGCGAGAGCAGCACCAGCTCCTGCAGCAACGAACCATGTCGTCTCAACTTGTACGGCCAGTCATGCTTCCCGGGTCCTGTCTGCCGTGAAGCACCAACACCTGCCCTGCAGTCACGTGCGGACAATGGTCCACATCTTAACCAGCTCTCAACTCTCCCTCAGAAGTGCAAACAGAATGTGAAGTATAAGTGGTCGTATATAGCCGCATATAGCCGTGCAAGCAGGACTCTCCAACGGACCCAGGACATGAACACGGAGGTTATTCGGCTTGGTTACTTCAAGTTTCCACTTGGAAAGCAGACAAGGCTGAGCTCGCGACGGTCGTGGGCAGACGTGTGCGGCAACATCTCGGATTGGGGTGGCTCCACATCCAGTGCCTCGTGTCTGCAAGACAACATGCACAACTCAAACCAAACAATCCCAACATGCACGGACTCACGCCAAACAGTCCGAACGTGCAAGCCAAACATACCTACCAAATGCCAACTGCCTTTCCCATCTGCACAACTATGCGATTTCTCTCGCATGGCGGCAAACCTTTGGTGTCCATCACTGCTTATCGTGTTTTTGTGGCGGCAAAGAGCTCGCAGCCAAACTACGGGGGTCAGCCAAAACTGGAGCGCGGTATCCCTGATGGCCGAAGCGCGATCGTGCAGGTGACCGCACACCCTTCGAAAGCCCGCGGCAGTGCGGAGTATGCAATTTGCGCCCATCCTGGACGACAGCCTAGCATGCGGATGCTGGCTAAACAGGTTGTATAACGAGAGTGCTGAGAGCGAGACAAGCTTTAATCTAAGTAATTAATCCGTCAACTGCCCGCGCTTGCTTCTACGTGCATCTACGTGCCCTGCATGTGCTACCAAGCGAAGCGCCCAGGCAAGGTCACACCCACAACGATGTCAGCCGAACATCTAAGCTCAGCGCTGGAAACTCTTCGATCGCTGCTAGAGCTGGAAATGCCTCCAAGCATGTGACATCTCCACAGGAACATCTGTAAGTCGGATCGAACACGCAATGTTGCATGGTCTGCATGGTTTCTTTTGTGCCGCATCGAGACACAATTCCTACGGTTGCAGTCTGCAGTCTTGGGCAGCAGAAAGCAGCTATGCCAGATAGGTATAGCATGCGATGCCCTGATCGTTGAGAATGTGCTTCTCCAAATACCTTGCCGGGAAATCATGAAGTGCAACACAAGCAAGGCCTGAAGCGTCATTCCCTGGTTTGCACCCGTACCCCACAGCCATTCCGGTGAAACGGGTGCAAGCCAATGGAGGTCTGCGGCAAGATGCCAGCCGGGTAAGACTGGGTCGGGAAGTGCGGGGTAATAATATGTAATAATTAGTGTGGAGTAGCAGGACTTTGGGACGACGGCTCAAGACAAGCAAACTGGCCGAGACGCTCCCTGTCAATGAGCGACTCAATCCTCCGTTTAATGTCCGCCACTTCGGCAGGGAAGCGAACGGAAGCCAGAATATCTGCGAGAAGCTCGGAGTGCGAGAGTTTCTTCTTAGCCTTCCTTAGCTTTGTGAAAGTAGCACATTCCAGTCTGCCGCGAATCGCATCACAGGACTGGCTGGGCTCGCAAGATAGGATCCTAGGCTGCAGCACGCTACTCTCCTGGTATTGTCCGGCTGCATGATGCGAATGATCACGGCATCAAGTTCATGCTGTCGGCTGCCTTCCAAATCGAGCCAACAAGACATGGACTTCGCGGTAAGAAACAAAACATTCAATCCTTTATCAAAAATTGCTTGCAGAGCCTATGACCCTCTGCTCCGCAACATCCTCTTCTTGCAATTGCTCCTGTGGCGACATGCAGCTCACAATGTAGCTTCCCGAAAGAGGTGCTCTATTATGCTGGAAAAGCATACCAACCAGCTACGTGCGAAGCTTCGACGCACCTTCGGCAAAATCGTGGCAATAGTGATTCTGTGGAGCTTGTGGGTAAAGCCACCGTTGTACGAAAATCTATCTGTGGATTGGGCGTCTCGCTCAGCACGGTCTCTGAGCAAAATTCTCACAGCTTTATGCACCGTCAAGCTTTGCAGCGTCAGTTGTAGATCAGCCTGTGGAATCTGCGTAGCTTCCGCGATCTCTCCAAAGCTTAGAGAGTTTGCTGAGTTGAAGCAGAGAAGAACGAGTGCTTGAAAGTGGGATACCACGAATTCCTTGCGAGTCTGGCCACCAGCTGTGCCATATGTAGCTCGCAGAACACACTGACCCCAAGCTGGGCACCATGACAGGGAACGTCCAGTGTGCTGCTGCTGATAAAAATTTGCAAAGCATGTCCTTGGAGACCAGACTTCCGTGCACAATCTGCGAGTGCTGCCGATCATCTACAGCAAGCTAAGACCTAGTGCTGCGTGCTAGCCGCGTCTCATCAGGCGCAAGGGAATCGAAGGAATCGAGATGTCAGCGCTGGGCTGACCGGGCCATCGGCCTGCTGTCAGGACGGAGGCGACGAACTCAATACGGGTCTCCTGAGTGTGATGTGCCAGGCATCCATCACCAACAAAACGCTCGCTTCCCGTCAAAGACTTGTGATTGCCTTGAGTTGTGGCCATGCACTTCCGACAAGCCTCGTCAAAGAGCTGCTTTGCTTGTGCAGTGGCCTCAAAGTTTTGACTTAGCACTCGAGAGATCTCCAAGTCCTGGAACATTCCCTCAATTCCTCGGCTGTGCAAGTTTGCGCCTGCAACGCCTCAGCAGACATGAAGAGCAATGACAACCGCGAAACAAATGCCGAATGCTGCCCTAGCGTCCAGCTGTGTATGCATTGCCGCACTCCTCTCGAAGGAGTGATGCTGCGGATAGTTCAGCTTCGCGAGAAGCGGACCGTTGCAGAAGCAATCGCCGTGCCAGATCCTTCTTGTAAAAGGCCTCGAACCTGCATACTTCTGCACATCGGTCGTAACAATCTTTGCTTCGTGCATGCCCCCCCAGACCGCCCTGTGGCATGCGTTCCGACAACCCGGACAACTCCTTTCTTTTTTCTGCTGGGAAGGCGGTTGTCCCCTTCGCGGGGAGTACCGATGTGCTCCGACTTCTCCCTCTCAAGACCCACAAAAATGGCCTCGCGTTTGACAAGTTCAAGACCTGGAGCGGGGGGTCTCGGGGCGTGGGGCGAACCGCCCTCTCAGCCGGATGGAATGGAATAGGTACGACTCTACAGCAGCGGCAGCTGCAGCCGCCCACGTTCTTTCCCCCCCATCGCGGCTCCGAAGCCGTCATGGCTGCGCCCCTCAGCAGGATCCCTGCGAGGGAGCTCCGGTCAGATTGGCACCTGCGTCAGCCTTACTGAGGCATTTAAGGGGTGGTACGACATGCCTGTCAGGGCGGGAAGCTCCCTGGTATTTCCTACACAAGTGTAGTGCATGAAATTTTGATGCACTACAAAATTTTTGCCTCGCGCATGCACGCACCTAACTCACTCGCCCCATGGCGTGCACTCGGACAACTCCTTTCATCTCGACAAGCTGCTGAGACGGCGGCTGTTTCGGGAGGAGCCCGCCTCCAAGGTGCAGGGCGTGGGGCCACCCCGCCCCTTCAGGAGGATCTTCCGGTCGGCATCTATTGACGAGTTATGTAAAGGGCCGGACGTACATCGGGGGCGTGTTGTCAGGAGGGACATCTTTTTGGGCAGAACTTGCCAGCAAGCCCACCTTCACCCAACTCCCCGCACCGCACTTGAGCTTTCTCTGCGAATTGTGCAACCGTACGAGTTTTCATGGTCCCTTTTGGCAGTTGCTTGACGACAGTCGCCGGTGATGGTCTCGTGTCAGCTGTTGTTGACCTGGTCCGAAATCCCGCTCTCCTCAGGTGACCTTGCCTGGAACGATGAAAAGCTTGAGAGGCTTTCTAGTCCTAGGTCAACCCCGCCATTGCGTCCGCGGTTGGGAAGCCACGTCCACATCTGGGTCTTGCCTGCAATCTGCAACTTCCCTACCGCGTCCGCGGCGACGGGCGCCTCTTCAGCCATAGGATGCCACACATGTGAAGCGCCGGCCTTCGGCTCGCGGCTTCGCTTACGACCCCTCGCGCCCTTTGTCTGTCCTTGCGAGTGGCTTTCGTTTTTCTCCTCTGTTTATCGCGAGCGGCAGCTGATGCCGCGCCAGACGCGGCAAGTCGTTACTTAACTAAAGCCAAAGACTGCGCAGATTAACAGCACGCCACGCGCTGCCGCAACACACCCGGGGACTGCACCACTACGGAAGTCCCACGTAATCCCGCCAATTCTCCCAGAACAAAACAAGTGAACCTGTTGCACAAGCCGAAGTACAGCAGGCGAAGTGAGCTGGACCGTGCTTGCACCAGGGGATGCCGACCAGGCCGATAGGCGGGGAAGCCCGGCAATAGAGCCATCCGCATTTGGCACAAGCAAAAGCAGGCCTAACAGCCACCCAATCAAGGTGAAAATGGAAGTACGGTAGAGCGAAGGGCAGCAATCAATGCCTCAATAAATACAATTTTTCGCCCGACTTCTGACCATGTGACATTGAACCCAACACCTGGGCACGCGGAGGCCTAACTACCAGCAGTCGGTACACAGCATCAATTGTGCAACCGCAACATCCGACTGCACACACCACTAAGGGATCATGAGCATCTGTGCGAGAAAGCCCGACGTCGGGGGTTTTACGCCGGTGTGCATATGTTTGCTGCCGCCGACAAGTTAAAAGTGAGGCCTGGATGCTGTCGGGTGCGCTTTTGAATCTTTTGAGTACGGTATTGAGTGGTGTGTGGGAGTTGCATCCCGTCCCAGTTTGTGCAATGTGCTGCTACCGTGAAAGGAATGGCAGACGTCCTTTAAGATACCCCTGCAGCTTCAACGTGCTGTGACAGAAAATCGGATTTTATTATGAGCATGCCCACTTCCTCAATTGCCGCAAATGCCTGTTCGGCACTTGCTGCCTTGAAGGGGTTGTTGATAGAGCGGCATTCAAACTGTAGCGATTCTTGCGTATGCATTGGTGGCGATGTTGAACTCTCCTCGGCTAGCTGTCGCAAATGAAGCGCACAGCTCGGCAAAAAGTTCAAGGTTTAGTTTTTGGTTGACGACTACAGTGCTGTAGCGGTGGCCTTTGCGACAACATCACGGGAACATGTCCTACTTTCTAGGCTGCGATTTGCGCACAGTGGGCAAGTAAATGATCCATTCTAGCTTAAATTAAATTGTCAAACCATTAAGCCTGACCATCCCCAAATCAAACTTTTGGTGCGCTTTTAACTTTTCTGCATGCTGCTGCTGGGCATGACAAACGGTACGCTACATGCACACTGGACCTCGAGATGAATGCAGCGTCCTGGACAACATGAAGGCTTCACGTTGAGATACCAAAGTGCTCAATAACTTGATGTTGATTTTTCAAGTAACTGCTGCACATGGTGACATGTCAGCTAACAAGTCCTCGCAAGCACGCACCTGACAGCAGCAGCTTGATTCCACTTCTCGCGAGGCGGAGCAGGGACTGAGGAAATTGCTCACTGTTTCTTGCCAAAGCAAACTTATACAGTATCATACAGTTTGCAATGGCATTGTGGGCACTTGAACTGTTGGGGTGTCAGAAATCGGGGCCGGGGCTTTAAGCTTGGAACCAAAGGCGACGCGAGCCTGGGCCTTTTCCAACGCAACTACAAGCCTTTGAATCAAACCATTCCTTTTTCAACTGTTTGATGGCCTCCTCTGCACCAGGCCGCGGAAGCTTACCGCACGAAACACAAACCCAATACACCCCAAGGTTAAGCATTGTTTGACTGGAGCGAAATTCCCAAGACTTCGGCTTTGCTCCTCTTGCACCTCCTTCTTGGACGGCTGCTAATGGGTTCAGGGGCGAGAGCTCAAACGAAGCGTGCCCTCCGCCCCGTCCTTGCTGGGCTCATCCGCCTTGTCACTCGGCTGCTCCTAGCTAACACGTTGCCGTGTTTTCCCACCTTTTGGTGAATTCATCGTGGCACACTTCGTTCTGCGCGACCTTGGGTCGTAATCCCCGGATCCAGGCCTCGGCCCAAGTCTCAAAGGCCACTTGGACATT